TGAGTTGCTCTTATAGTTGAGGCAGAGTAGATAGTGGCTAATGGACAGTTCTGGAAGGTGGCAGTTCTGGATTCTGACATTGAATACAGAGGTCTTGAGAGCCAGTTTTTGTATTCTGTGGTTGGGGCTTCAATCAGCATCGGAGTCCACCTGGAATATTAGTGCTCTCAGTTAGGACTTTCCTGTTTGCAAATAATAGAATCTTCCTTTGAGTATCTTAGGCAAAGGGGGAATTTTATAGGATGAATCCTTTAAATTCATAAAAAATTTTCCCTATAACCTAGAGGCTAGAAGATCAATATGGAAAATGGGCAGGAATCAAGACTGTTCTGGAAGGCTTAAAAAGTGGCACAATCAACATGACCAGGACTCCTGATAGTACTTTTATCTTTACCCATATTCAAAGCTCTGAGCAAACACATCCAACTGAGCAAGTTTAGTCACAGGCCATGCCACAGCTGCCAGGAAATAGGGCAAGGGAGGGTGTAGGCCCTTTGTTTTCCACAGTAGGAATTGGGGTGTTATCCCCACACCCCACTGCAAGACGACTCACAGGGCTAGGTTCTCTCAGAAGAAAAGGGCCCTGAATTCTGAACCACCACAGTTCAACACAAGTCCATGATAATTTCTGATAGGAAATGAAGGACTTAAGCATAGAATTTTGGAGAAGGAGTGATGGTAAGGGATGTGATAAAGATCAGCCTCTTCCCTATCTTCTTGGCACCACTTCAGCTCTCCCTAACCTTAGGGAGCATGAAAAACTTTCTAAAATGTGACTGAGATGGCAGGTGAGAGGGTACTTAATATACTTTAGAAAGATGAATTTGAGCCAGGCACAGTGGCACATGCCTTGGATCTCAAGTTCCAAGGACAACCTGGGTGATACAATGAGACCCTCAGCAATTTAGTCAGATGGTTTCAAGATAAAATTTAAAAGGAGCTGTTAAAAGTTCCCCTGGGTTAAATCTGCTGCGTCTCCACTGACTCTAGCTGATACTGCATGGAGCAGAGAGGAGCCGACCCTGACAATCCCAGCTCAAATGCGGATTTGTGAAAAAAATATTATTGCCATTTAAGCTGCTAAATTAGCAGTTCTTTGTTATTGCTGCAAAAATAATTGGAAAACTAAATATAACATCATTAGTAAAACTTTTGATTTTGTAAACAGGATAAATAAAATATACTAAATAAAAATGAATAAAGGGAAATATTTTTGAAGTGGTAAGAAAAGATAAATTAGATTTACCTACAGCACCGTAACTATCTCCAAAATACAATAGTGAAAAATTAATAATTAGAATGATATGCAGCAACATATACTTTGAAACATATTTTAAAAATCCTACATATTTTTCAAATATTTATAAAAACATAAATTTATACAAGATAGAGCAGAAGGACATATATTATTAAATATACTAGCATATCTATAAGATTTGAGAATGGGAAAAACAGAAATCAAAAGATATAAATGAAACAGCCAAGAGAGTGTTCTGTAATTGCTGACCCTGATTCACAGTTCCTTCTGGCACAAAAGTAGAATCTATTTCCTGCTCTCTTGTGCAGTTAGGTGTGGCCAAATGATATTAGTCTTACAATGGAATGTAGGTAGAAGGAATATATGTTATTTCCAGGACAGACTACTTAGTAAGGAAAACTAATAGATACCAAGGATAGACCAGATCCTACTCAGGGTCATAAAAAAACCTTCACAAATTTCATATATATATATATACTTGCACACACACACTTATTGATTTCTAGTTGGTTCCATTATTAAATGTGTGTGTGTGTGTGTGTGTACAGAAAGATACCCAAAGTATCTCAAAACAGTGGAAAATGATAAGCAACACATTTCTAAATAATGCAGTTGCCAAAAATGAAGTTTCAAAGGAAATTAAAAAATATACTGAAGTGAATGAAAATACAATATATATAAAGTGACTGATGTGAAGCTAAAGCAATGCTTGCAGAGATATTTACAGCATTAAATACTTAGAAAGGGGCTAAGGGTATAGCTCAGTGGCACAGCATATGCTTACAATGCACATATATGAGGCCTTGGGTTCCAACTCCAGTGTTTTTTTAAAAAAAAAAAAAGGAAAGGAAAAAAAATGGTGTCAAATCTATAACAAAGTTCCCATCTCAAGGAATTAGGAAAAAAAAAAAAAAGCAAAATAAGCCCAAAGCTAGCAGAAGAAAGAAAATAAAAAATAAAAATAAAAAAGAGTAGAAATAATAAGTTGAAATTAGACAAATAGAGAATAGAGAAAAATCAATCAAAACAAAAGCTTATTCTTTGATATGTCAATACAATTGACAAACTAATACTGACTAAAGACGGTGAGAGTGACAAGAGAGACAGGTAAGAAAAAGAAAGACAAGAATTACCAATGCCACGAATGAAAGGGGAGATTATTATAGATCCAGCAGACATTGTAAGGATAATAAAGAACTATATAAACCACTCTGCATGTAAATTTGACAACTGAACAGAAATACCAACTCCTTAAAATCTATGAACTATCAAAACTCACCCAAGACGAAACAGATAACTTGAAGTCATAACCACTAAAGAAACTGAATTAATGGCTTAAAAATTTTTGATAATTTTTGATAAGGAAGTCTCTAGGGCCCAGATTGTTTTACTGCTGAATTGTGTCAAACAAAATAATAAATAAGCAATTTAAAACCACGTCTTCCAGAAAGTAGAAGAAAACAACTTATAAGAAGGGTTTGGGGCTGGGGATGTGGCTCAAGCGATAGTGCGCTCACCTGGCATGCGTGCGGCCCGGGTTTGATCCTCAGCACCACATACAAACAAAGATGTTGTGTTTGCCGAAAACTAAAAAAATAAAATATTTAAAAAAAATCTCTCTCTCTCTCTCTCTCTCTCTCTCTCTCTCTAACAACAAAAAAGAAGGGTTTGGAGGGCAGGGTTGCAAAGTTCATACACAAAAATCAATCTTACTTCTGTGGACTGGCACTGAATATGTCAAAACTCTAATTAAAAACACGACACTAGGGGTGGGGCTGTAGCTCAGTGGTAGAGCCCTTGCCTCTCAGGTGTGAGGCCCTAGGTTTGATCCTCAGCACCACATAAAAATAAATAAATAAATATATTGTGTCCATGTACAACTAAAAAAAATATTTTTTAAAAAACATGATACTATTTACAATTGATCCCCAAATTTTTCTTCAGTCTAAATCTAACAAACTACTGCAGGATTTGTATGAAGAAAACTAGAAACCTCTCATGAAAAAGTTTTTAAAAGACTGAAATAAATAGAGAACAGTGTGTGCTTATGATTCAGACTGAAGATGTTAATTCTCCCCAAACTAATTCATTGGCTTAATGAAATTTTATCTAAAATATTTTTTTGTAGATAAGAGAACTATTTTTAAATTTACACGGAAATGTAAGAAAATCAGTAAAATCACACTGCCCAGTTTCAAAATTACTGCTCTCTCTCTATAGAAATCAAGACAATTAGGTACCTGGTAGAGGGACAGATACACGTCAGTGGAATAGGACATAAGTAAATTCACGTAAGTAAAGTCAATGGATTTTGACAAAAAGGCAAAAGCAATTCAAAGGAGAAAGGATTTTTTTTTTTTCAAAAAAACAGTGTTAGAAGAATGATATCCTTAGCTAAAAATGAACCTTGACCTAAACCTCACATTTGAAAGCAAACATCCACTCATTTTGTTCAGGATTACTGTGGTAATTACATGCATCTCTATATATGATTAAATTTTATCCAAATGTGAAGAGTAAAGCCATCAAACTTTTAAAAGATAACACTACAGAGAATTTTTATGACCCAAGGCTAGGTGGAGTTCTTAGACATAATGCCCAAATCATGATTCATAAAAGAAAACTACCAATAAGTTGGACTTTATCAAACCAAATCATTTTGCTAAGAAAGATCCTATTAAGAGTATGAAATACAAGGTGCAGACTGGGAGATAATATTTGTGATTCATAATTCTGACAGGAGACTTATATTCAGAATTTAAAAATCTCTAAAAGCAACAGTAAAAAAAAAAAATAAATAAAAAGTCCAATTAGAAAATGTGCAAAAAGACTTAAACACTTCACCAAAGAGATTATTCAAATGTTCAATGTTAAGCACATGAAATGATGTTCAATACCATTAACTACTGAAAAAATACAAATTAAAGTCATGATGATATAAACACCTATTAGAATGACATGGAAAAAACAAACAAATAACAACTCCTGATAAGAACATAAAGCAGCTAGATCTCTCACACACCAAAAGTGGGAATATAAAACAATGCTCTGAAAAAGAGTTTGACAGTTGTTTTTTTTTTTTTTTATAAAGTTAAATGTAGACAGTAAGACTCAGAAATTGTACTCCTGGATATTTACAGAAATGAGAACATGTATCGACACAAGAATCTACACATAAATATTTATAGCAACTTTCTTTGAATAGCTGACAACTTGAAATAACCCAAAAGTCCTTTAATAAGTGAATGGATAAGCTGTGGTTTATCCGTACACTAAAATACTATTTGGTAGTAAAAAAAGAACAAACCATTGCTACATGCAACACATTGAAAGAATTTCAAGGTTGTTAGCCTGAGCAAAAAGAAGCCAATCTAAAAAGGTTATGTGCATTGTGTGATTCCACTTATATATCTATTGAAAAGACAAAATTGTGGTTATGGAGAACAGATCAGTGGTTGCCAGGCAGGGGTTACATTTGTAGAGAGGGTTATGATTATAAAATGGAGCCTGAGTGCTTCTTTGTGATGATTAAATCATTTTGTTCAGGATTACTGTGGTAGTTACATGCATCTATATATGTGATTAAATTTCACTGAATGATATGTAGAGAGAAAACAAGTAATTGATAAAATTCAAATGCATCTCCAGGTTAGTAGGCAGTATCATACAAATGTCAGTTTCTTGGTATTGATAATGTAGAGGTTATATATAGGTTATATAAGATTTTACTATTAGAGGGTTTAGGAATTCTGGGTGAAGGTACATAGGGATTCTTGCTACTTTTTACAATTCCTTGTGACTATAAAATTTATTTTCTAAAATTTTTTTTAGATGTTCATATTTATTTATATGTATTGCTGAGAATCAAACCCAGTGCCTCACACAAGCTAGGCAATGCTCTACCACTGAGCCACAGCCCCAGCCCTAAAATTATATTTTTAAAAAATGAAAAAAATTGGTATAAGATTCTATTATCTATGCTGATAATAAACTATGAAAAACATCAACTCTGTCTTACATTTCTGCCTAAACCTATTCCACACTTTCCTATTTGTAGCTCTCCTTTCTCTTCCCTCCTCCTCCCTCATCTTTGGAAATAAGCATACTAAAGCAAAGTCTCTTAAAATTGCAGCTTTCTAAAGCAGTTTTCCAGAACTTCGTGACTTTGCTGTTACTCTCCATTTCCCATCACTCCCCCCAGAGAAGCAGCTAAATTCCTCATATTTATTTAAGGGGGGCTTCCTGAGGTCCACTGCCTTATGGTGTCTTTGCCTTTTACTTATAAGAGGAATCTTGATGAGTTCCATTTTCTAGGGATTGCTTCAAAGAAGAGTCCTTTGTAGCCTGGGCTGTTCTTTTCATACTGATACTCCCTGCAAGAACACAAAGTGTATGTCATGCTAGGCACCCAGAAAAAGATTACTGGAAGACACACAACAAGGTATTAAATAAATTAGAGAATTAAAAAGAATATTTTTCACTTACAAGAGAGACCAGACTCAAAATTGCTTCTGAAGAGCCACCTCACTTGATTTCATCATAAAACAGATGCAATGATTTCTCATAAATTCCATCTGTTATATAATAAAATATCTATGTATTATATACCGAAAAAAATTTTTTTGCAGCTTTCATATGAAGAGGACCCTAACATTTTATAATACAACATCTAATCCTGGCTATATCCAGATTTTGTGCCAATGTTAAGGACTTTTCAAATCCTGCCCTGGCCCATAAATTCCAAAACTCCTTGAACCTATTCAAGAAGTTCATCTTTTCCTGGCTCCAGGAGATGAAAAATTGTACATTGCAAACAAACAACAACAATAATCACTGAAAAATTATCTATTTTATCTAAAAAGCAAAAGAAGTAGAAGCCTCTAAACGACAGTAATGGGGCCCGATGATAGGCTTTAGGATTCAAATTACAATTTCCTTAGCCCAAGAGGGATCCGATCCTCTTTAGTGAAGGAGGAAAAACTCTTCAAACTGACATGAATAGTACTATAAAATCCTACAACTGTTTTTGTAAGTGCAAAATTCTATTTTTTATAATTATAAAATTATGAGGTGATAGATCAGCTTTCACCAGTCTGATTTGCCTTGTGCTCTTTCTCATTTCCTCTTTCTCATTTCCCCCCTTTCCTCTCCTTCCCTTTCCTCTAATCTTGGCAAAATTTTATGAATTAATCAAAAAAAGCACTCAGGTGTTATTTACATACTTATCCAGTCCAGATAAAATTCAAATGATTTTTTAAGTTTCTTAAGCTTTACTCATATTGGCTTTTAAAAATTTTTTCTTGCTAAAAGTAACAGAAGAGAAAAAAGTTAGCCATGAGCTAGAATAACGGCCTTGGTTACTATGTTGTAAGATATGAAAGGCAGGAAAACTAGAACATTTTGATGTGATTTAAATTTTTGGTTTAAGAATATTGAGGTCTGTTGAATATAAACATTAGAGAGTTTTATTAGAGAATAATCCAGGTAATACTCCTGATGATATCCCTTTAGACAAATTGAAATGAATTTAGTTTAAAAACAACTGTGCTGACACACTGTTTTTACCATCATGTAAAATGTCAGTACAAAGTGCTCGTCTGTACAAGACTTGGATTTAGTTTTTTTAGGATTTAAATTCTCTAAAACTTGGATTATGGATCTTGATTTAATCATGTGAAATTCTTATGCTACAAATCATAAGGATTAAGTGTATAAACATGAATTGTAATTTTTAGATCTACAGTTTTAAGAACTTAGGCTCATATTTACTAGATTTAATTAATAAACAGTATTTAGATACTCTGACAATTTCTAAGATATAAAACAATGGTCACTCAACATGGCTTTAACCTTGTCTTCTATTTTTATACACTGTAGAATGACTAAAGAGTAATCAAGTCCAAATGTCTTTGATAATATTTTTTGAATTTAAAATCTATAAATGATATAAAATGTATAGTCATGGAAGAAAAAATTTAGTTTCTGGTGTTATATATACCAGTTCTCTCTGTTGAAAAGAAATACGTTATTTTGGTTAAGGTAAAAATTAATAAAATGGTTGAGACCACACCAGAATACAGTTACAAAGTAATACATCTCATGAGATAATGAATGTGAGGACCTCGTGTATATAGTTCAGTGGTAGAGCACTTACCTTACACACACAATGGAAGTGTTTACTGGTTTATTAAGGGAGCTGTTAATCTCATTATGATGATAAATTCAGTATAATGTATGTTGGCTTATTTAATATGTTCATAAAGGTAATTATTTTAAATTTAATTTTAAATTTATTACAATTTATGTATACCTAAACAAATATTTAGAAAGGCTTTAGAAAGTATATTAATAAAGGGCAAATTCTTCACAGTAAGTCATTATTTGGATTACAAAGTCGAATTAGAGTTTTCTTTCTATAAAATGACCGTTCAACTCCTTCTGTACTCAGATAAACGTTATTTTTGAAAATAAAATATGGTGACTGGGAAAGGAGCCAAAACCAGTCACCTATAAGGAGCCTAAGGGATAGGGATTTGGTTTAAATAACCTTGCCAAAATGTGGTTTGAAATTCTTCTAGGAGTCAGTATAATGGGCATGTGTTTTGTTTTCCTGGGAGTGGCCACTGTCTACATCCATAGGTTTGCTAAGGGGGGCAAGGAAAAAAGGGTTGCCCATTTTCCCTATAAGTGGAATTTGATGGAAAGACATATATTTGGAGTTAATCGTTATTATAAATCAAAGGGTTTGGAGAACACGGATTAAGGAAGCATTTTCTTGATTGATGAAAAAAACTCAGTATGGTCATCTACCCCTGCTAGAAGGCTACTTGATATATTATGTAGCATGCAGTGTGTTACATAATACATGTTCAAAATAAAGTTAAAACCACAATAAAATGAAAAAGAAAAAAATATGGTGAGATCCCTATACTTTTGGCATACTCTTGAAGCAAAGTTCCTTGTTTTTGAAAAACTAAATTTCCTATAATCATCACCACGTACTTTTGCTGACCTTTTTACAGTATCAATATGTAAAGATTTCTTGCTTTTAAATAACACTTCATATTTTGTTTCCTTGTCAACTCTTCTTTAATTTGCCTTTTCCAATTGAGAGTAAAACTGCTATACTCTCTTTTGAGTATCCTAGAATGGCCAAAAGGTTATTTGCTTCTGAATCTTGTAAACAGTAGAATAGAAATGGTTAAATTTATTTGGTATTTCCAAATTTTAACCTAAAACCATCATTATTTTCCAATTATAAAATAACAATAACTGACAAATCATTAGAAAAAAGTGATTTAGTATTAGAAAAACTACCTATGAGTCTTGATGCAATGGGCCTTTTAAGGAGATCTTAGGCACTTGAATCTTAAAGTTTTCTAGGAGGAGATGTCCTCTGATGGAGACTGCTAATTCAAGACCTGGAAGAGATGGTGACAAAATATGGACACTTTCTACCTAACATGGAAGAATAAGAGTAATCAAGAGTAATTTTCTCAAGGCTCTGTTTGTTGTTGTTGTTCTTGTTTTTTTTTTTTTTTCTGATTTATTAGTTCTTTTTAGTTATACTCCACAGCAGAATCCATTTTGATATAAACATACAAGTACAGAATGTATTTTGTTCCAGTTAGGATCCTCTTCTTATGGATGTACAAGACGGTGGGATCCACGATGTTGTTTTTATATATGTACACAGGAAAACTATGTCAGATTCATTCCACTGTCTTTCCTTTTCCTATTCCCAAGTTCTTTTTTATTCTTTTGCTTAGTTGCTAATCTTATTTGCTGTACTTTGGCACCCCCCATCAATCACCTAAAAGACTTCACAGAATCCTTGCACATATTCTCACAGTTAATTTAGAGCTGTTACTTTAAACACTACAGATGGTTGATTTTCTTCTACAGATCCCTTCTGATATTTAAATTTTCTTCACATTTGTTGGCCCCAGACTTCAGCCTTTTAAAACATGGAACTTACCCTAAGTCAATAAAATACTTCAGCTGAAATCATTACAGCAAAGCTCACTAGGACTGGGAACAGTACTGGAGCTAGCTTTCCTTGCTTCCACAAGGGTCAGTCTGTTCTCCTCAGACATTATACAGCCTGATTCACAAGAACTCTTTACCTTCACTCAGGAAATCTGCCTGCCTCAAGGAAAAAGCAGCTGGCTCACACTTGCTGTGATACATGTGCTCCCAATACATCACAATGTAGGAGGTGCAGCTAAAACAGTGCACACAGGAATATTTCTAGCATTCTATACAAATTCAGGACATAAACAAGGAAGGAACACCTCCCCTATTTTAATGAGGCCCCCAATTCCCAGATAACAAAACCAAAGATACTACAAGAAAACTATAGACCATGTCCTTCATGGATACAAATGTAGAAAACCTGTGACCAATTATTAGCAAATTGAATAAAAAAATATATAGTTGATTCAACATTCAAGAAAGGTACTTTCCTCCCTCATGACCTTTATATGATAGGCTTCTCATTACTTAGCTCACACAGTGCCAGTTAAGTGTTGGGTACTGTTTCAATCCCAAAGGTATGATGGGTAAAACAGTGCTCAAAACTATCAAAAGTCCCTGATTTCACAACACTTATTGTGGAAGAGTGAAATAAATGTAAAATCTGTCAGGTAAGTGTTATAGAGAAGGAGAAAGAGGGTGAAGGAAACAGGGAATGCAAAAGTGAGGGCAGATTAAGGAGCTGCTAAGATAAGATGTTCGTTTAATACATAGTATGGTTAAGGTAAGTTGTCTGCTGAAGCCCAAACTGCCAAAACAAAAAGGAAGTGAAAGCAGCAGCTTGTGGATACCTGCAAGAAGTGTCACAGGCAAAGGGAAGGACAAGCGCCAAGGCCAAAGATCTTAGGCAAAATGGGGCATGCCTAGTGTATTTTTAGGAACAGATTTGAGGCAACAAATAAGGAAAATATTGAGAGAAGATAAGGTAGAGAGGACACAGGGAAGGGCACGTACAGGCACTCCAGGCGTTATAGGGCCTTTTAGGTCTCTAAGATGGGAGCCATGGGGTTGGGGGTTCACACAGGAGTAGCATGATCTGACATTATACTGGTTAGCTTATAACTTAACTCCTATTCCTTGATCCATCCACTTTAGACAAGAATGCTCACTGAGCTGGGGGCAGTGATGCACACTGGTAATCCCAGAGACTCAGGAGGCTGAGGCAGGAGGATCGAGAGTTCAAAGACAACCTCAGCAACTTAGTGAGACCCTGTCTTTAAATAAAATACAAAAAAAAGGGGGGGGGGGCTGGGATGTGGCTCAGTGGTTAAGTCAATCCTTGGTACAAAAAAAAAAAAAAAAAAAAGGGAATGCTCATTATTTATAGTAGTAAAACACTAGGTCGGGGGGATTATTCAACCACAGGCATTGTGATATTGTACCACAACTATTAAAAGGAATACTATGCAAATACAAAAAAATGATGATAAATGGAATGACTGAGAAAAGTAGTTCTAAAACACTATATATTACCCCATGAATATATATGCCTGGAAAAAAGTCTGGAAAGACATGAGTTAAAAAGAGAACAAATTCCTGGAGAGATGAAGAAAGCAAAAAAACATAAGGAATATTTTTCTTTTGTGCTTCCTTGTGTTGTTAAAAGCTCCTAGGGCAGATGTTTATTATATACAGTGAGAAAAAAATTATTTGGAAATATCCAAAGGATGCATTACTAGATCTATATGCTAGAATGACCTTTCTTTGCTTTACCTTAAAAGCTCAAAACAATCACCCATGATGAAAACTGGGCTTCTAATACGTATCTATACACATTAACTATTCCATAAAAAAAGCTCAAAACAATTATATGCAACCCATTTCAGTCCTGTAATAATAAAAAAATACATTAACTAAGTGGCATGTTAACTGACTTGTGGCTAACAAGTCTCTATAATGAGCCAGTGACACTCAGCAAGGGCTTAGAGAAGGTTAACTGCCCTGAACCACTGCTGAAACTAGTACTATTTTTTCTCTCTAGAACATAGTAGCACTTACTGATGTAACCTAGTTTGCCAATTTTTTGATAATAAGTCTATACATTTCTCTTACTATGACTCAAAAATGCCAAGATTCTAAGACAAGGAGAAGCTTTGGTTGATAAGAACCTCCGGCCAACAGGGCATCAGAGAAGACATATCCAATGGGTACTGAGAAACAAACAGCCATACTTGGAGAGGGTCCAGGACCATCTGGTGGATTCTCTTCAGTGTTTCAGAGATCTGTTCTAGTTTTTGGTTGCTGTGCAACAAATACCCTAAACCTAGTGGTATAAAACAATAGTCACGCCTTATCACCTCTCAATTCTGGACTCAGGTAGTTCTTTGGGCTTTCCTTATTTGCTTGTGGTCAGATGCTGGCTGGAGCTGGAGTCATCTAGAAGACCTCCTCACTCATATGTCTGGTGGCTGATGCTGCCTGGGATTTCTCACAGCAGAAGCTTGCCAGCAAGAAGATTCCTGAGACAGGTAAAAGGCTTTTCTAATGAAGTCATAAAGCATCACTTCTGCTGTACTCTAATTACCTAGAAACGAGTGACACCCCATACTCAAGAGTGAAACTGACACCATCTCTCTTAATGGGAGAAGTGTCAAAAGAACTTGCAGGCAGTTTAAAACCATTAGTCTACATTCTAGCCCGATGCAGCCTTCCCTGCAAAACAGTCACCTCTTCCAAGATTTCCTGAAGTCCTCTTAACCCATCAGGATTAAGCTAGTGCTATAGGACCCCGTGTCATGTAAACTGGCTCAGGGTACAGAACCAGTCCCTCTGGTGAAGTTTCCCAAGTACTAATCCTCACTATCTTTAGTTCCATAACTAAGGAGACAAATTGTGTACTCCTCTTCATGCACCCAACATTGGTGAGCTGCTGGGATGGAGGTGAGCAATCTGATATTTTTCAAGGGGAGGCACATAATAGACATTTGTTCATAACAATTCTGAAATACTTTTGGATCCAGTTCTGTTCTTTGGGAACACTCCAATTTTTGCCTCTCAGTTCTTGGGCCTGCCCTTTAAATTCTTTCCTGTTCAAATAAAAAATGTTGTCTGGGATGTAGCTCAGTGGTAGACCACTTGCTTAGTATGCAGGAGAACCTGAGTTCAATTCCCAGCCCTGCAAAAATAAAAAGCAGCTAGAGTTTGCAGTTGATTATTTGTAGAAGTTGAGGGTTCAAAGGCTATTTTTCATTTTTTATTGTTTTCATTCCTACTAGTCTAAGCTGTGGTATGTCTGCCAATATAATTATCTAAAAAACTTGTGGTTTACTGTGAATCTTACCAGGGATTTACTCCATTACACAAATTCCAAACCCACAAATCTCTCTGGGACAAGCTTTCCTACCTTGAGCTCTTTGTAATGCTGCTTTGGGAGAAGGCCATGAAGGTTCTTAAGCCCTCTCCTTCACCTTTTATTAAATGGGGAGGACCAATGAGGCATACACTTGGAAGGCCTTGTCTGTATGTGTGCAGTGCAGGAATGAAGCCGGGGCCTCAAACATGCAAGAAAAGCACTCTTACCACTGGGTACACCCCGAGCCCGGTCTTTTGAAAGGGTCTTTGGGGCTTCATCTAAAATCTCCCTGAGGTCTTCCAGACACACCCTTGGCTTCATGTTCAGATGTTTTCCTGGGTTTGTTCTCTGGACAGGAGCTATTTCTTAATTTCAGTGTCCTTTGCCATCTGGGCAGGCTTGGAATAAGAATGTTAATAACAATTTTAAAAAGTTATCAAGTCTTGGTTCCTTTATTTAATAGTGCTTCAGCTTTTCTTTTTATTTCAGGCAGATAGAAGACATGTTGCCCTTCAACAATCTGCCTGGAGACCTGAATAGTTATTCTTTGAATTACTAGACACATTTCTTATTCACTATGATATTGAATGTGGTCGTGTTGCAAAAATCTTTGTTGTGACATAGCAAGAAATCCTTTCCTCCAAATTCCAATAACATTTTCTTCATTTTACTTTATGCCCTGACAGGCCCTCAAGATCCATCAGGCTTCCACCAAGTTTCCTCAGTTTTGCCAATTTCCACCTGTTGCCTAGTCACAAACATATCAGCGTTTTGTAATGGCAGGCCCTACTTAGATAATAACCTATGCCATAATCTCTCAGTCCTGCATGCCTGCTGACCTCAGCTGGGATTTCCACTCCACTTGGAGCCTCATGCAATTGCAGCCAGATGGTTGGGTTTGGAATCTTGAAGTCTTCCTTGCAGGACTGGTGGTTAATGGAGGCTGCTGGTTTGGATGCTCACAAGCAAGCCCCTCCACAAGACCTAGGATTCCTTGCAGCATACTGACTGCCCAGCAAAAGCAATCCTCCCAAGACAGCCAGGTAGAAGTTGTATTGCTATTTCTAACCTAGACTCCAAAATCACAGAGCATCATTCCCACAGCATTCTACTATTCAAGGAGAAAAAGTACACTCTACTTTTGAGGAGTATTGGAAACTTCTATGCACATCATTAAAAACCTCCTGGCCTCTGTTCTTTTCAGTCATAAAGGTATTTGAGGTGTGTCATGCTCACAACTGAGGAAAGAAGTCTAGGACAGTCAAGTCAGAGAGCACATTTAGGTTCTAGGGCTTAACTTATTCATTTTCTGTGACCTTCAGCAAAACACCTGGTCTCTCCAAGCCAACTAATTCATCTGATTCTACAAATATGAAAGTGTAATTTCCAATAAAGGGAGTTAGTACAGGTGGGCTAATGAGAACATACCTGCCTTTTAAAATTTTTATTTAATTATTTTATTTTAGTTATACATGACAGTAGAATACACTTTTTGTATGATACATCATATATAATTCTCATTCTTCTGGTTGTACATGATGTAGAATTACACTGGTCTTATATATGTACATAGGGAATAATGTCTGATTTATTCTACTATTCTTCCTACCTCCATAACCCTTCCCCACTCCTCAATCCTCTCTACCTAAAGTAACTTTATTCTTCCTTACAGTGCCCCCCCCCCCAATTGTGAATTAGCATCCGCATATCAGAGAAAACATTCAGCTTTTGGTTTTTTGGGATTGGCTTATTTCACTTAGAATGATATTTTCCAGCTCCAACCCAAGTAGCACTGATCATTAAGAGAGTTGGTAATACCATTTGTGGCTGACAAAAAATGTGCAGAAAGTTTTTTGAAACATTCTCAGCACATAATGTTTTCAGAGTGAGAAACTCTGGCTTGTGACCAAGCCCACTGTAAAGCAATGACAATTTTAAGCTGAGGGGGATATATATTCTTTGGTTTAAAAGTTAACCAGCCTAAATATAAACTTAAAAGTCTATTCAAGAAGACTGAACATCCCTCCCCATTCCTGCATTATCATGTCAGCAAAAAAAAATACTATTTGGGAATGGTGAAACACATTTTTTTTAGTGTCATCCAAGTATAAACCACTGGGATAGGTACATATATATTTCATTTCCACCTAATGGCTTAAAGGCTACTACATGAGATCACACAAGTGTGTAGATAACTATAATAAATGGCATTATGCTAATGAGCATGACTCAGTTCTTAGAAATGATGAGTTATAAGAAGGGAGGGTTCACAATAGGTCAGCACAGGGAAGAACAGCCTCTGTAAGCAAGGGCATTTTGAGAAAGCCCTTGTGGAAATGGTAGGACATTCAGAACCAAAATGTGAGGGAAAAATAATCTCAACATTTATTCCCCTGGATCACTACAAAAGTCTGTTGAAGAAATACTTTCAGTGGGGCTTAAGATACATGGAAATAGGTGACTGAAAAGATAGTCTGAAACATTAAGAGTCTGAAACATTGAGTATTCAGGTGTTAAAATTTCCTAAGCTCAACTATAAAGTAAGTGCCTCAATAAAACTGTAAAAATCCAGCTCTAAATTCTCTTCAAAATGACCTACAAACTAGGAACTGACAACTCCCCTTGACTAAGCATTAAGGTTTTCATTGTCTGCCTTTGGAGATATGGGGCTCCCAAGGACATTGACCCATCTGTCCTCTCCTTTCACTTTAACCTCTGAGTTTTCTAGGATCAAGAAAGCATCCTATTAATATAACACATCCTCACTGATCATGCTAGCAAGACAAAAAGGAGCTGATACTTTTGATACAGGAATTCCCTAGACTGACATCTTAACTTCTGTTTTTGCAACCTCTCTTTCAAGTTTTGGGAGCCAGGAAACCTGATCATCATAAACATAATTTCAGTTCAGTT